CTTCCTTTCCACTGCTTCCGCCACCTTTGCTGTGGCCCTCAGGCTAGAATATGCTAGAAGGTTTCCCCTCCTCCAACAAGTCTCCCTCCAGCTCCCAACGCCGCCTCCATTCTGGAAGTGAGTTCACTTCCTACAAGACAAGCCCCTGTCGGCCCTCAGCTGGCCGGCGTGCCCCAAGCCGGGCTCCTGGATGCGTTTCTAGCCGCCCTGCCCGGCGTGGCCACTGGGGGGCGGGGGCGGGAGGTGGCTCCTGGTTCCCCAAACATGCTGCCTGCTGTGGCTGTTTCTCTGGCTGGAGTTGGTAAAACTCCCTCCAGCACCAGCACCACCCCCAGGTGAGCTGTGCTGGTGTCCTGGCCTCGCCCCCAGGGGCTGTTCCACTTCACCCCCCCCCCTCCCGCCTTTCTGCCAGGAACTAATCAGCTGGCTTCCCCACAGGGTCTGCAACTGACCCACCCGCTGGCTACAGAGAGGCTGGGAGCCGTGAAGCTGGCCTGCATTTCTGCACCCTGGTATGTGGGATGTACAGGCCCAGCCTGGCCAGGCCCTCAGGCACCACTGTCCCCTTCACGCCCCATTATGCTTTATGCCACCTCCTGACCGTCTCCATTTGTTGCTTTCTGTTTGGTGCCAGCCCTCCCGGTGGAATAAGCTGCAGGAGGCCGATCTGCGGCCGGGTCACTGCACACAACCCTGCACTGGGTGGCATGTCCGGGAGGCATGAGCTGGCATTTGCCACACGTAAGGAAGGAATCTGTTTAAATTAATTGTCATCATTATTATTATTTTTTTGGTTAATCCTCACCTGAGGATATTTTTCCATTGCTATTTAGAGAGAGTGGAAGGGAGAGGGAGAGACACAGAGAGAGAAACGTCCATGTGAGAGAGACACATGGATTGGTTGCTTCCCACACACACCCAAGCAGGGCAGGGACTGAGCCTCCAAGCGAGGCCCGTGCCCTTGACTAAAACTGAACCTGGGGCTCTTCAGTCTGCAGACTGGTGCTCTATCCACTGAGCACACTGGCTAGGGCTCATTTAACTTAAGTCTTTAAGGAGGCTTTGAGTTCTTATAATGCACATTACTTTTTGAATTAGAAACAGCTAATTACGTATGTTAGAATGATGACTCAGCATTCATTCCATATGTCTTGCCCTCGCCAATTTGGCTCACATCCATGTTTCTCTCTGTCTCTCCCTCTCCCTTCCAATCTCTCTCTAAAAACCAATGGAAAAATATCCCTGGGTGAGGATTAACAACAACAACAAATACATATCTTGATCTTCAAATGCGTTTCTCTAGTCTGGCTAATAAGCAGGAGGTCATTTTTGCTTTAGTGTGAGGCCCACACATGACATGAGCAACAGAATGAAAATCAAAATGCTAAAACCCCCTGCCCCCATCAGGGAGTTAGAGCTGCCCTGCCGGCCGGGGAGGACCCTGGCGGAAAAAGAAAACCCTCACATTTAGCATCGTCGTCTAGGACAGCGAGCTACGTGGAGGAACAGGCCACAGACTAACCCCGCCGGCTCGGAGAGGCCAGCCTGCAGGACCCCACAAACTCGGAAAGTGACCAGGTGGGACCAACATAAAATTGCCACCGAAACGCGGGCCATGGTGGGCAGTCACATCCCAGGCAGGCAGCTTCCTGGACAACGGTCAGTGTTTACCCTGAACTGAGCCTGTCTATTGTCTTTTTGCATCTAATATAACAAACCTTTGGAAGGTCCAGTGATCCCTTTCCCAGACCCCCCAGGGCACAACCTCCCACCAGAGCAGAGACCACAGAGCCCCTCACGGTTACCTGGTCCCCTGAATACCATCTCTATGTGCTGTAAATGTTTCTTATTATTATTATTATTACTTCAGAGAGACAAAGGGAGAGGGAGACCTCGAAACATCAATGATGAGAATCATCGATCAGCTGCCTCTTGCACGTCCCCCACTGGGGATCTAGCCCACAACCCGGGCATGTGTCCTGACCGGCAACCTAACCGTGACCTCCTGGTTCATAGGTCAATGCTCAACCACTGAGCCACGCCGGCCGGGCTACTAACCATCCTATACCCAGCAATGTGAACGACGTGTGTGTCTCTCCATCTTACTTTGTATTTAACCCCAGAGGTTTTCCCGAGTTGCTTTCTCCCGCGCCCTGAATCTACCACCAGTGGATTTCACGGACCCCCCTTAAGCCCCTCCTTTGACTAATGTATGCGACAAGCTGCGGAGCTGCCCTTCTCAGGAGCATTTCTCAGTCCATGGAGGTTTCGCTTCCTGGCAACGGGCATCAGTTTGGGTCAGATGCGCTCATAGGAATTCTCTACAGGGCTGGACATTTCCTACATCCACAGCTACTGGGAACAGAGTATTTATTTCAAGATAAAGATGCTGTGAGCCAGGGGGCGCTTTTTTAATTTCCTTCTGCAGTGAGAAGGGAGAGAAACAGGAAGAGGAAGTGGTACCACCACCCCCCCACCCCCCCACCCCCGCCAACAGCAGCAAAAAGAAAGTATTCCTTATCAGAGGCCGGGCTCACCTCTTTCCTTTCTTTCAGGTTCGTCAACATGACGATGGTCGCAGACTTCTGCTCCCAGATCATCCTCCAGAAGTCATTAACTGTTTCCTGCTTAGGGCCTGCATGTGGAGGAGGATCCCAAAGTCAGGCAAGACAGAGGTCCGGTGGGCCCCAGCCCCAGGCACTGCCTGGCCCCCGGATGGCTGCTCCCCCGATTCTCTGAGGCACAAAAGGGCTGGTGGATCCAGTTCACACCCGACAGAATTCCAGAACCCGTGGGGCTGGGAGGGGCCAGCAGGTCCCCGCCTGCCCATTCCATCCCTCCACACTCCCCGCTCCCCTCTGGAGCTGGGAACTCCTCAGGGGGCGGAATCCCTGGATCCGGGCAGGTGATAGTCACAGGCAGTCACCTATCAAAATGAGAGCTGGTCTGCAGCTAGGGGTCCAAGTGGTTTGTGGCCACTCAGTGTTTTGGTTTCAATATCGCACCCGGATGTGGTGTGTGAGTGTGAGTGTGAGTGTGAGTGTGTGTGTGAGTGTGAGTGTGTGTGTGATGAGAGAGTAACAATAACAAGCTTACCTTGAGCTGCTATGAATTTATTCTTCTCCTTGTAACCCTAGAAACATAAAATCAGATTTATAATGTCTCAAAATTATCTTTGTATGTCCCTCTCTAGTCTTTATTTTCTGGGAATACCTTTCAAGACACACACATGGGTAGACACAGATATATATATATATTTAATTGGTTTATGCATATAAATTCTCTTATATTGTATTCTTATGACAATTTTATAACTTATATTAAATGATCTTTTAAGGTTCAATGAAAATAGATTCATAATAATCCATTGTGTGTGGCTTTACCATCATTTATTTAACCAGTCCCTCCTGCTCTATTTTATCAGTTATATAAACAAAGCCTTAATGAACACCCTTGGTATCTATGTTTCTTTTTTGTTCTTTTTTTCTTTTTCTTGTTGTTAATCCTCACCCGAGGATATTTTTCCATTGATTTTTAGAGAGAGTGGAAGAGTGGGAAAGACAGAGAGAAACGTCGATGTGAGAAAAACACATCAATTGGTTGCCTCCTGCACGAACCCTGACCAGGCCCCAGGCCAGAGAGGAGCCTGCAACCAAGGTACATGCCCTTGACCGGAATCAAACCTGGGACCCTTTGGTCTGCAGGCCGACACTCTATCCACTGAGCCACACCGGCCAGGCCGGGACCTATGTTTCTTAAAAATGAAGCACAGATACTAATTCGAAAGGTGTGGATGCTCCCATGCTCTCTGTGCTGAGGCCACACTGCCCGGAAGTTGTGACAGTTTATGTTCCCAGACCCAGAAGAAAGCACCCACCGGTGACTCAGAGCCCCAGGTGGTGGTGCTGGGCCGGGGACAGGGACATGGAGGACTTACGTCTATGTATGAAGCATTAATGTAGTCCGAACAGGGCGTTCCGTCCACTTGGCTCAAAATCACCCGGGAATGATCATCTGTTTTAAAAAAACACATGATATCAGGAGAAGGAAATCACATCTGCCATCTACCGTATCAGACCCCGCAGAGTCCTCCCAGCTACAGTCTCAGACCCCGCAGAGTCCTCCCAGCTACTGTATCAGACCCTGCAGAGTCCTCCCAGCCACAATCTCAGACTCTGCAGAGTCCTCCCAGCTACTGTATCAGACTCTGCAGAGTCCTCCCAGCTACTGTATCAGACCCTACAGAGTCCTCCCAGCTACAGTATCCGACTCTGCAGAGTCCTCCCAGCTACAGTCTCAGACTCTGCAGAGTCCTCCCAGCTACAGTCTCAGACTCTGCAGAGTCCTCCCAGCTACAGTCTCAGACTCTGCAGAGTCCTCCCAGCTACAGTATCAGACCCCGCAGAGTCCTCCCAGCTACTGTATCAGACCCTACAGAGTCCTCCCAGCCACAGTATCAGACTCTGAAGAGTCCTCCCAGCTACAGTATCAGACCCAGCAGTCCTCCCAGCTACAGTCTCAGACCCTGCAGAGTCCTCCCAGCTACAGTCTCAGACCCTGCAGAGTCCTCCCAGCTACAGTCTCAGACCCTGCAGAGTCCTCCCAGCTACAGTCTCAGACCCCGCAGAGTCCTCCCAGCTACCGTATCAGACCCCGCAGAGTCCTCCCAGCTACAGTATCAGACTCTGCAGAGTCGTCCCAGCTACAGTATTAAACTCTGCAAAGGACAGACCCGGGCTCCCACGGTGACCACAGAGGGACCAGATGTGGGAAAGATCTCAGTGGCCAGCGTGGGCCTGCCCACCACCACACAGAAACAGGACGGCAGAATGTGCGGACCCTACCATGTGACAGCGTGTTCTCTGGGCCCCAGTATTGGCACATGTAGGTGTACTTAGGAGAACTTCTGGGGTGACCCTACCAGGCTTTCCGAGGAGAGGACTACTGCATCTCTGGACAAGTGGGCATTTGGATCTGGGGTTTGGAACCACAGACCCCAATCTCAGCCTTCAGGTCCGCCCCAGAGAGGAAGGTAAGCAGGACCCACACAGACCTGGGCTGACGGGCCACCTGCCTGGGAGGTTCCGGCCTACGGTGCAAGCAGAGTCCAGAGGGGGCTGGCCGGGAGTGTTCTGCGTGAGTGGAGTGTGTATGTGGGGTATGTGTGTGGGGGTGTGACTGTGGGGTTTGTCTTGGCAGCGAGGCTGGCTGTGAAGGTCACCCAGGGGCACGGCCCAGCCATTGATGCCTCTGCACAGATGTGTGACCCCCCCTGCCCTGCACCTCCTGGAGCCCACACTCTCTAGCCGGTGGCGGTCCCTAGCTGTCGGTCCCTAGCTGTCGGGTGGAAACCGGGTTTACTGGGAGCCTTCCCACAACACTGCCAGAGCCCTATGTGTTTCTCGTTTGTCCTTTTGGCCCTTGGTCCAGGGGACTTGCTGCTGGTGGCCAAGAGCTGAGTGCAACAGCGGGAGGTGCACGGGGCCACCCGCCGCCGTGGCTGGGGCTCAGGATCTGATCCAGCAGGTGGGGCCCTGCCTGCCAGTGCAGGCGGCCCCCTCTAGGCCCTGGGCAGCCCAGGTCTCATTCAGCACAGGCTCCGCGGCCAGACCCTCGTCCACGCAGGCTGCCTGTGCCCGGGTGGCCCATGCACAGGTGCCCGGAGGCCCGGTGCCTGGAGGCCAGGTGCGAGCTCCCAGCAGCTGCGCTGTCACGGGCTCTGATCTCTCAGCACCTGGATCATCACGTCACTCAGAGCGACACGCACCGTCACCGCGAGCTGCAGGGGATTCGGAGTTTAGTCAGAACACCACCGACCATGCAAAAACAGTAAAATCTTACTGGGAAGGATGTTGGGGTATCTGTTCTTGTCTCTGTTTTCTTCTTTATTGGCCTGTTCAAACGTTCCTTGCATGTGTCCAGACGGCAGCGACTGGAAGGGAACACAGCGGAGACACTCAGTGTGATGAATCCTAGCACGGAGTTCTGTCAGCTTCCCTGGGAGACAGGTCTCTGATCCCACCACTGCCTGTCGCCTCATCAATTGTAGCAGATCACCATCGGCTCATCAATCGTAACAAGTCACTACTGGTTCATCAATTGTAACAGATCACTATCGCCTCCACGTAGCGCTAAAGCAATGACTTAGTCGTTGGGAACTGTGTGCCAGCACCTGCCACTTCCTGACCAATATTCTGTAAACCTAAAACTGCTCTAAAAAAGTCTATTCAACGTAGTAAATTAAAAAGAAGGAAAAAAAGCCCTGAGAAGCCCCTGCCTTCCTCGGAAGGTGAGGCGGCTGCAGGGGCGGGTGGGGATGGCAGGAGGGGCCTGGGTGGCCTGGATACTCCTGGCTGACACCCAGCATGTGGCCTGGCATCTGCCCCAGATGGAGACAGAGTGACGCTGCAGCTCCATGGGCGGCACTGAGCGTCGCTGGGGCGAGAGAAAGGACGTGCTCCGGCACCTACCACCGAGTCAGGTTCCAGCTGGGGAAGGACCACCCGCCCGCCTGCCAGCCCGCACTGAGCTGCCCCGCACCCTGCCTGCCCTCCACCCGCCCGGGCCTCCCCTCGGCAGTGGCTCGGGTGGCGCAGGGGAACCGGGTAGCGCAGGGGAACCGGGAGAGCAGTGGAGGCTGTGCCGGAGCCGGGTCAGCCCACAGCC